GTAAGCTCAATGAGAACAGAAATCTCCTCGAACAATAGCTATCCTCTGCGGTACAAATCCGGCCTCTCGTGCCCACACTTGCCGGATGAGTCTCAGGAAATGGCTGAGCCCTAGGAATACTAAACAACCTGTAGCGCCTGTAGGGAACCAAACGCCAGCTGGCGCTCCGTAAATCTTGGTAAAACCCGTGAAGATCGACCCTGAGTAGTCGGATCCTTCTTATCCTCAATACGCTCTGCGAAGCTCCGCAAATTCCTGCCGTCTGCGACACGTGCCACGGCGCCGGAATGCAGCTTGTGCGGCCCTCCGCAGCTGCGCGACTCTGGTGCCCTGTCAGTGAAGGACCCAAGTATCGATCTATCACTGTATAAAAGCTGTGCTCATGCCGCTTCTGACCCGGCTTGTTTTGTTACAGAAAAACAGACATACTGTTTTCGCCATAAAGACCATGGTTCTGATCGAAAGAAGAGGATGGGGCTGATGGGCCATCGAACTGAAAGCTGAAGCTCGTGCTGGAAAGGTTGATAAGGTTTCAATGAAGGGTTTACGAGTCTGGGATAGGTACTGCACACGTGCCGCAGCTCTGCGTGGCGATCAAGAGGCTTCGCTGTGCTTGGCATTCCTGGTAGCTTGAGATGTTTGAAAGGTAGCGGTCATGATTGTTGCTTGCAGGGGAAGTTTGGGACATGCTGGGAGTCGGTCACACGAATACCTCACCCGACATCCCTCCCAGCCTCTGCATTTTCGCAGAGCTCGACCCTCTCACCGCTGACCAGAGCCACGGTGACTCGCATCGTCAAAAGCATCGCAGCTACAGATGAATGAGTTGTGGTCTGTGTTACGCACCCAGGCAACCATGACCCTGGCAGTGTAGACTAATCTAAAGAGGAACACCAACAGTTTGACGAACTCGAATCCTGCGATGCTTCATTCGAGTACATCCTAGCTGCAGATGTCTCATGACGTGCAAGACCACAGCTCATGCTAGATGACACAGGCGGAAGCGATCCGAGTGTGTGGGACAAAGGCGGTGGATATCCTATGAGTCTTCGCCTTGCTCCGGCTATTTGCGCTTAGAAGCTCACCCTTCAACGCTGCGTTAGCCACAGAAGCCCTGCATGTAGGAAGAGTCGACAGCCGGCAAAAAGCAGTACGACCCCAAAGGCAACAAGCATTCGTGACATAGTCCACAGCTAATGACATACAACCTTTCTCAAACCCGACACTCATTGCAAGCAACACGGATTGCTTCCTCCGCTTGAACCAGAGCTGATGTCAGTCAATGATCAGCTAGAGGGCACACGCCGCTGAGGAGCATGGGACATGCGGGCTATTGTGCATGCTGCTGGTAACTCCAAGCGTTAGAAATTAGAAACCTTAAGTTCAAGTATTGGGTCCAGGGAACTGCTCCGAGAAGTCACAGTTTTCACCCTGGGGCATGGTGACAGGGCCAAAGACTCAAAACGCCTTTCGAGCCCATACCCATGTCCCAGATCCTGTGTAGCGCTCAGGGCATTCCAGACGTCCTGTGCCGACGGTTGGCGTTACAATCAAGCGTCGCAATCAAGGCTCCCCCCACAGAAACATTCCGCTAAACTATAGCTTGCAATCGTTTTACGCTGTGTAACTAGAGCATATGAGCTGCCCTGCGCCAAGCTTGCTGGGCTCATATGGACAAAACCACGCTCGGTGCGACAAGTCCAATCCTCTCCCGCTTACAAGACAGCTCTAAATGGCCTCCACTCTGGCGTCATTGGGAGGCACCCTCAGTTTGACTTTTAAAATAGGGCTCCCATCATGTATCCGACCAGCAGCAGCGCCAATGCAAAAGTGCGTGAGAACCTGATTACCTCGACAGAATCTCTGCTCGGCCTTTTCACTGGACCTCTCATCTTGACCCCTCCAAAACCGGGAAGAAGCTTAGCCCACAGCGGCCAGGCACCGCGCCCCAGCAAGGCTGCAGCAGCGGCAGAGACTGGCATGGAGTCAAACTAGGCATCTGCGAATGCCATTCTTTCAAGACGAAGCTCCTTGAAATTATATTCCAATTTGGGAGTCTGCTTGGGTTGGGGTCCTTCGACACAGCTTGTCTTTGATGAGTCTCAGAGCCTCAACATGCACATGTTATCTCAGGGACACAGAAGCTGAAACGACGAAATGTGCCGAACATTCACCAGATCTGAAGGCTTCGCTCACTCAGTTCCAGGGTCCGCGGACTCCAAACAAAAGCCCTCTTCAGCGTATTGGGTAACAGCCTTTTGCCCCTGCAGCCTTCACCCCGATGCAATTTGCCATCGCCCATATCCCAGTCGTCGTAAGCACCGGCAAGTGCGTTCCTTCGCTGGACAGGCACGACGGTCAGTTTCAGGTCTTTTTCCTAAACGCATGATCTGTACTCATCTGGTTCATCGATGTTCGTGCGGGGCATGGGCATGCGAACTGTTGAGCTGAATCTGCAAATCTCAGACAGAACTTCTTGGGTGCCGGAGCCCATTCTCCGAAGTTTGCAAGTGTCTGAAGATTCCTTCAGCAAGCAAGGTGCAAGAGTTCTCTCACCTCCATCACCTTGGAGCTGTGCAGGCTTTGTTCAGTTATCACTTGTTTGAAGGCTCCCTTGGTCTTCTGTCTTGCCTGACCTTACCCCTCTGGTGGCTTGGGGATCCCTCTGCAGGCTTGGGGGTTTTGCATCCCATTGCAGCCTGCATTCTTGGAATTTCGAAGAAGCCTGCCACGGTGGAGTAGCACAAGACTTCAAATTAGGAAAAGCTGCAAAGCCTGATCTGAATCTTTCTCGGTACTCTCCAACCCTTGCCCAGCCACCATTTGCGACGTCTGCTGCCATGGTGGCCGCCATTTCAAGGCAGCCTGAGAACACTTCTCTTTCCACATCCGCCAGGCAGAGAAACCCGTGTTCTTCAAGAGCCTCTGCTGGACCCCCAACACGAAAGGTGAGTCTAGTGCGTCCCTGCAGAACAGCCCCTTGTTGACGCAGGTCTAACCCCGCAGCGTAGGTCTGGAGACATCAACAAATTTAAAAACAAAAGCTATCCCTAAACCCTATAATCCTTAAGGCTCTGACTCCTGAGACCGCCATTGTCATAGAAAGCGCCCCGCGTATTGCTGTGCATGAACCCTCAACCTAGCCTGCAGCACTTGCTGAGAATCTCGGGTCATCGCCTCAGAATCGTCAGCAGGCCGGCTTTTGTTCCGATGCCCAAGACTTATAAGTCACAACCAGGGCTCTTAGGCCACGGGTTTCTCGGTACGTTCGAATGAGCGGCTTAGGGTTCGGACTCATCAGTAAAGCTGTGTTCATTCTGGATAAGGAGTTTGCAACGGCTGCTTTATAAGCATCTTGATAAGCGTGCTTTCGAATTGATGCGTTGAGGGGCTTGCTGTCAGGTTTATTGTTACTCAAGCCGTCAGCAGGGTTGCATAAGGCTGCTATAGTGTGATCCCTTCATGAATAAGCCGCCTTCCCTCCATAAAGGCTTACGAAAAAAGATACTGATCTTAAGCACCTTGAGTAAGGCAATCGGGGTTTAATGATCATGGGTCTACATTGACCAAGACAGGCACGACTCAGAACGCTTCTTGTGCCTTCGTTCCGCGCAAGGATGCAGGATACAGCCCCGGCTGTGCTCGGCACAAGGGCTCTGAATGATGCCGTGTCTTACTCACGACTCCAAATCGAACACTCCGGACACATGTGACCATGGGACCCTGGTAAATTCGTGGCATCCTTGCCTGCGCATGCCTTGAAGCGAAACCCTGAAGCCGGCAGTCCAAAAACACACAAACAAACAAACAAA